GAGTGCAGTTCACTTAACGGCCACTGGAGTCAATATTAACAAAGGTTTTCTGAAAATTACATATAGAATCTTTAACTCACTTAAAACCATTGAAATACAACATTGACTTTCCCGGTCTCCTGACCCATCCATTCACCCGAACCACCTTCTCATGTGGACTTTTTTGCTCTTTATACTGCTCCAGACATAGTTACTATGGCCACAAAAGGTGCCCAACAATAAATGTAAATATGGGCCATAATAAGCTGCTTGCTTTACCTAAACAGCCGTTTTTTCTGTTGAGGACAGGCTGTGTTTTGTGCAAGTTTTTTAATCTCCACAACAGAGGTGGCGAGCGCAAAGTTATCCCTACCCACAGAGGAGGCACATTTATGGTCTAAATATCGTGAGAATTTAGTCCCTGCTATGCCTGTCAGTGCCATGTCAATGTTCTATATGTGTATGTGTTTCTCATTTGGTTATCTTTGCTATTGCTCATCACTATGATCTGTTCTTCACTTCCCAGAGGTCAAAGTGTGGGTGTGGTGTCTTTTCCTAGAATTTTCTTCTGAAGTCTGTAGGTGGCGCTGTTGCAGTCGTCATGGCTGTCAGTGCTCATTCTAAATAACTTTTTAAACTGTAGAACAGACATTCATGTATGAAAGTATGAAAAGACATGCAACTCCCTCTTTTGGTCATACTGTTGTCACCTTTCCCATCAACCTATAACTATAACTCTATAATCAGCTGTAATTGATTAAGAACGAGTTGGTGTTAGCTTAACGAGAGCCATACAGTTTTCAATTCATCTAAATCATCTGTCTACTACGAATGATTAACCTGGAGCTAAACTCATGGGTTGGTAAAGGCTGTGGAATGAATACAGGACAAATAAGGTCGCCACACACACACTCATACGTGATTAGAGTTACTATTATTACTCCAGATGCTTTCCCGCCCTAACAATAACACAATTTCAGACAGACTGTAAAGATTGATGTTTTGGCATGGAGACTTTTAAATCTAAAGTGTTTGTGTATGACACAATGAGGACATATGTTTTTTTATGTTTTGTGTGCATGATTTCATGATTTACCAAATTGTAATGAAGAATCAATCAATGGTCTACCCCTCCCACCATTGTTTCTTGCTTCCACCTTTTGCTGGACATTATTTCTGCTGCAAAATTATTACTGCAAGAATAAAATGTGAGAGAAACATATTTGTCATGTAATTTGTAGGATTTGCTGTCATAGAAAATGTCAACATAGACAAAACAGGACAAAAGAAAAGAAAAGAAAAGTTGGGCCAACTTGACCCGAAAGAAGTAAATTGGTTGAGCCCACCTAAATGTTTGAATTAAAAAGTTATGCCAACTTAACATTTTTAACAGAGTGCACACAAATAGTGTTAATGTAGTGTTAACTAATGTTAAATATTACACTGAGGCGTCAATTGTTCTAAATGTTGAATAAACTCAAAAAAGCTGTGAAACTAAACTTTTTTAAGTTGTAGCCCCTTATGTATTTTTAAGTGTGATGATTTTTTCCCCATATTAAAAAAACATCTTTCTCTAACCTTAACCAAAATGCTTTTGTTTTCCTAATCATGTGCACAATTTTGTATATATATATATATATCCGTGCATCAATGAGCCTTGGCCCCCCATCAACCCTGTCTCTGGTTCTTTTCCTTCCATGGAGCACTTTTGATAGGTACTGACCTCTGCAGGCCGGGAACACCCCACATAGCTGCAGGTTTGGAGGTGCTCTGACCCAGTCGTCTGTCACAATTTGGCCCTTCTCAAAGTCACTCAGATGCTCACGCTGCACATTTTTCCTGCTTCTAACACATCAACTTTGAGGACAAAATGTTGTTCACTTGCTGCCTTATATATCTCACTCACGGACAGGAGCCATAATAACCAGATAATCAGTGTTATTTACTTCACTTGTCATCCACATTCACATGAGGAAGTCAGGATCTAATCTAGTTAGCTGACAGTGCTTGTAGCCGCTCATGACATACAGTATTGCAGGTCCTATTTAGAAATGTGTACTTCTGTAATAATAAGTGTAGTGTAATGAACTGTACGCTAATAGAGAGAATGTCAGTGCCAAAGTTCAGGATTCTCTGAACAAAAGCAGCCATTCATGCAGCAGCGGTGGGGGTAAAGTCATAGGATTAAGAAATGTTTAATGCTGTGCGGGTGATTGTTGCCCAATGATCAGTCAGAAAACACTGCCTTGCTTCTGTCAACTGCAGCCCGAATTATTAGCACATGATCAGTGTGCTAACTACATTTGATGATTAATATTCTCACTGTGCAGAGCCGGAAGAAGTGCTGCAATCAATAGATTTTGGATGTATTTTTTAGGCATCTATTGGTTTTTATTCATTTGTGTACTATATAAACCCTTCATCTCCCCCTGTTCTCTAATCTCCTTTCTACTTTTTATCCCTCCATTTCCCTCTAATCTCTCCATTTCTTTACTACCTTTTTTGTCCTCCTCACCTCCTCTATGGTTTCCTTTTCTCTTTCCTCTTGTCCGCTTTGCTTTCTTCATCTGCTCTCCTCCACACCTCTGGTTATTCTCTTTTTTCTTTCCTCCTTTCTTCATCCTCCTTTTTTGCTATTTTCTCCTCCTCTTCTTTCCTTTTCTCCTTTACTCCTCAACATGTCTTTCCTCTTTCCTTCTTTCCTAACCTCTTGCCTCTTCTCCCTTCCTCTCCTCTGGTTTCCTGCTTTACTCTTACTTCCTTTTCTGCCTTCTTGTTTCCTCCTCGGGAGGACCCATCTCCTCCTTTATTCCCCTTCTACTCATTTTCCCTCCACTCCTTTACTTTTATTTTCTCTTCTTCTCTCCTAACCTCTTCTCTTGTTTCCCCCTCTCCTCCTTCATCCCCTTTCTCCCCCATTTTTTGCTAATTTTCCCTCCAGTCCTTTACTTCTATTTTCTCCTCTCTTCCTCTCCTCTTGTTTCCTCCTCTCCTCCACCATCTTCTTTCATCCCTTTCTCCATTTTTGATAATTTTCCTTCCACACCTTTACTTTTGTTTCCTCTCCTCTCTTCTCCTGTCCTCTCTTCTTGTTTCCTCTTCTCCTCCCCTAGCCTTCTCCTCTTACTCTTTCTTTCTAAATTCACTTAGGGTTAATTGCTTTCAGCAGGCTTTTCTCTCAGTCCGTCACGCTGCTCTCCGTCATGTGATGACACTGTTTGGGCTTGTTATCGGGGGGCCTGTGGACTGCTGCTTGGAAGAGGAGAGGCCCGGCACTGCTGCACATGAACTGGTGGGATCACTTTAACCTGCAGCTTCCTGGACCCCGGTTGACCACGCCTGCTGCTACAGCCATGAGATCCTCTGCAGTGTAGAGAGAAACCCTTCTGTTGTTTGCTGTTTGGGACTGGGTGACAGAAATCTTAAATGGCTGAGGAGGTTTTAATTCCATCGTCGGGGAAAATCACATCGGTAAGTTCAGGCTGACTGCATGAATCAGGTCAGACCCAGAGCCGGAGCCGTCAGCTGACTGATCCCCTATTGTTTTAGACATAGAGTCCCAGCAGCTAATAACATTTGCTACCAACTTTCAAACTTCAAGCTGGGTGAACTTATTGCTATTTTGAGTAGGGCAAAGTGAATAATATACAATAGACTGCATAATTTGAGTGATGCCTGCTGTATGTGCCAACATAATAATTACATCAGACATGATACAATTTAGAAACTTGGTATGAAAATTTAGTTTTATCAACTGTAATAGTCATTTACATTTTTAACCACTTTTCTGTGTATTACATCATACCTATTTTAAATAATTTGTCAGCATTAATACAATCAGGCTGCTTGACATTATTCTTGCGAGTGTGTCAGTGTAACAGCCAGCGCATACCATGTTTGGACCTGATTTTACCAACACTATTACCATGATATGTTACATGAATGTTATGTATGTGGACTTATATTTACAACTCTGCGTGTACAGGGTTACAGAATAAGAGAATTGAGAGCATCTGAACACGAGTGTCTGAGTCATCTTGCTTGGTCCTGACCTGTGTGAAATCTACCTTGACTACTACTGTTGACTGCTTTGTCAGGGTTAAATAAGATGTAATTTTTTTTTCAGTGGATTAATCTCATCCCTCATATTGTTGTTCCTTCAGTTGTTGGTTCAAAGGCCTAAATATTAGGGCTGCACAATTAATCGAAATGTTATTTAAATTGCGATATGGCCAAGTACAATGCAAATCACAGAAGTTGCACTTTTTTGCTAAAGGTAAAACAGCATTATAATGAAGTACAGCAGTGCTGCAGACCTAAACCCTAAACCTAACCCCATTCCCTGGACTAAAAATCTTGTTCTCCAGATTTAAGAAAACGTGAAAAAATTGTGATGAAAAAATGATCATTCCCACTAATCCTGAATCATTTTGCAATCACAATATATGTCAGAATAATCACAAAATGTTTCTTCAACCATATCGTGCAGCCTTACTTAATATGAAATATTTGATCTGACCAAATGAACTGCAAGACCTCTGGCTGGGTGAATAGGAATGTTGTCTGTAAGGAGCAAGCAGACGTAACGTGACAGCAGTACCTCTGAGGTAGGATGGATGGGTTAACAAAGCACGTGATTTTGACAATGGAGGCCGCTGTTTAGTTCTTGTTTTAGCCATAATAGCATGGCTTTAGGAATGATAATTTCTGTCAGTCCACCATTAAAATTCTATATACACATTCATGGTCTCCAGATGATGTTTTATATGTATCCCCTGACCTTTGATCCAAACCAAATAAAGTAACAGCATTCCCTTCAGCCTGCTAGTATACCTGCTGAACATCAACATGTTAGCATTGTGAGCGTGTTAGCATGCTTACTATTTAGCTCAAGGTGCTTGTCCTTAAACTGCTAGCATAGGTATAGACGCTTCTCAACAGATGGTCAATGTTGGTTTATTTTAACCACAACTATTCCCTAACATGAACCATTATTCTTTTAACCTACCTTAATTTAACCCAAAGACAGAAATGTGTTTTGAAGCTGCGGTAGGCAGTTTTTTTTTCTTGCCATCATTGGGCAAAAATTCCATAATAACCTTTCAGCATATTGTAATTCAAGTGTTAACTAGTAGCATTCAGCAGCAAGTACTAAAAATAGAGATGAGCTACTGTCCAATAGTATTTTCATCTTAATATCTATGTTCACAGAACTTCTCCCATGTAATCAACATGAGTACCTTCAACTCATAAACTTGATCATTTCCATCTAGTCACTTTGATTCCATGTCATGTGCCTCTTGGTTATATATTTGCCCTGTCTTCACCTTCACATATTTTCCCCAATGCAGGGCTTTCCTTCACAGTTTATACATTGACATTTTACAGTTCAGCTGGATATTTCTTTCTTCACCAGATATTGGTCACACAGTGTGCACAAGGATCCTGTCTTCAGAACTGGCAGCCAGCCATGCCCTTTGGTTTGAATGCAGTCAGGAATGTGAACAGTGCCAACAAGAAATTTTAGATGAGCTACATTCTAAATTAAGACCTTTAAAACTTCTTATTTTTTTTACAAGGTGTCTGTAAGCACAGCATTTAAACATATATAATAGAACTCTAACAACCTCAGTGTGTTTCAAAAAAGTGCGTGAGGGGCTTAAACAAGCTCTGTTTTTTCACTGCTTCTTTCACTTTGCAGCACCCTGAAATACTGTGCCATTATCTCTGTATGATTCATCACGTTAAACCCCTCTCTGTAAAGACTTACTTCTGGTTTGGTCATTCAGAAAAGCTAGAAACACTTTATGGTTCCACTTCGTACAAACTTTATTTCAAGCGTACCCTCTCCTTATAGGTTATAGGTCCCGCCACCCTTAGCCCAATATTCCACTGAGCACAACCACGACATGTTCCAACTCCATGTGTCGTGGATGTGTCCCAGAAGAATCCTTTCACTCTGCTCCACATAGTATACACGGCTGGTCTTTTTTTGATGGAAGCCACAAGCCACTCACGCCAAGCAGCACAGAATCCGGTCAATTTTCAAAATAAAATACAGCATGCAGACTCTGGATCAGATTTCACGCTGGATCAACATTGTCAACACAGTCAGTCAGTCAGACACAGGTTAGAGGAGATCTGAAGTGGAGAAACACACCATTTTGTATCCTTTTTAGGGACAAAATACACAAGTAAACACAGCGGGTAGTCAATACACTCTGAAGACGTGCCACTTCTGTATTGATGTGTGGGATTTGAAGACGTACAGATCATGGAGCCAAATGGTGCCCGGTGAAATACCTCTTGCATTAAAGCAGTATTATGTAAGATTTTGTATTTGTTGCGATTTGACGCCTCCAGTTGCAATATCATTATGGTAAATATGGACAGCTGTAGATTTGTTATGATTATGACTATTTATTAGGGATGTCCCTATTCATTAAAAAATGTAATATCGGGAATTATCGGTATCGGGTTTTTATAACCGATGTTTGTTCTGTAGGCTTTAGCATTTCCGAGCCTGCATGAAACAACATGGGACGTTTTACCGGTGCGTGTTAGATGACGTATAACAACAACACTACACGCTAGACTGGTTGGTTGCTAACCCGTGGCTAACAAGCAAACAAACTTTAAAGCTGGAATGTTATGTGTGTTATGTGTGTTTATTTATATTAACCAAATAAGTGCAATGCACCTTAAATATTTGACCCTGCTATGAGCTGTTCCTTAACCAAACTAACAATTGGCTTAGAATTTACATTAGCACTCCTTCAGGTGCATAATACAATTAAACACATCAACCAAAGCTAGCGCTTTTAGTAAGCGCTTAGCCGCTTAGCAGCGCTTTAGTGTTAGGCTCTCTTTTCAGTATTAAGTACAATGAAAGTTGAAGTGTTCTTTTATTTTGCACAGGACAGTGTTTACATTTGGAAAGCCATGTTGCATTTATGCATCCAGTGGGGCATCACAATAAAATTAGGCATAAATGGTGTTATTCCACAATAAAGGGAAGATATGTTATGTTGTGCTAGTTTTTTGGTGTAAAAAGCCTGCATATATCGGTATCGGGTAATATCGGTATCGGAAATTGAGAGTTGGACAATATCGGAATATCGGATATCGGCAGAAAAGCCAGTATTGAGCATCCCTATTTATTACTCATTAAATTAAAAAGTAATATTATTACTTTAATGATTACTTCCTGCCAACAGTAATTAGTTACATTACTAGTGCTATTCCCCCATCTCACTAAGGTTTAGACTTTTTTCAGATCCATTTTTGTTTGTTAAAATCTAAGTTCTTCCATGATTACACAAAATGAATCCAAGGATGTGATTGGATAGTTGGATTTCAAATTAGATGGGGGTTGACAAGCTTAATTTTTAAGAGGGGGTAACTGTTATACTATTACTTAAATGTATTAGTAATTAGTTACATTACTAGTTAATGGGGAATGAAATATTATTGCTGTAATTATGTATTAATAGTAATGCCTTACTGTCTGACACTGAGCACAAAATGCTGAACTGAATTTAAAATACCTTTTATAGTGGTACTGCAAGTTGTGGCTTCCCATCATAATGATCCTCTCATTTAAAGTCTTTAATGTAACGTGTACAGTATCTACAGCTCCAGCTGTGAGTGAAATATTTCAGCCGTTTTAACAGTTCAACATTTTTGCCCTCTTCTGATGATTTATTTAATCGTATATACTGTTACTTACTTTTTAAAAAAATGAACAGCATTCCCTCTCAGCACATCTCTCATGTATTCAAAAAGTCATTGTTGAATGGTGGAAAGATTTGACCTAAGAACATTGCGATATTTAACTGAAATCATCTGTAAAGTAGACAGAGTCCTTTTCAATTAAGTGCTCATTAAAAACTAAATTAGG